TGGGGTGGGTTTAAAAAAAACCCTTTCCCTGGGAAAATTAAGGACAAAAAATTTTTAAATTTTTTCCCCAAAAAACTTTATTTTAAAAAGATACAAAAAATTATTGGTAAAACCCAATGTAAAAACCTAAAATTGCAAAATTTTTTTTTAAACCCGGGAAGCCCACCCTCCCCCCCCGGGGTTTCATTTTTTCCCTGTTTGGGAATATACTTTTTTTTTAAAAACCTTTTTCCCCCTTTAAACGGGGGAATTTTAAAAAATTTTTTCCCCAAAAAAACCCTTTAAAATTTTTTAAAATTTCCCAAAATCTGAAAATTTTACAAAAATAAATTTAAAAATTTTGGGGGGCCCCCCAATTTAAAATTTTTTTTTTAATGGGAGTTTAAATTTATTTTTTTTAAATAAAGGTGGCCCCAATTTCCCAAAAAAACCCGGGGGGGAGCCTAGCTTAAGGGAAATAAAAATTTTAAATTTTTGGGAATTTTTCCCCAAAATTTTTTGGGGGAAAAATTTTGGCCCAAAAGGGGGTAAAAATGAAAAAAAAGGGTTTTTAAAAAAATTCCTAGAAAACAAAAAGACCTTTTAAATCTTTAAAAAACAAATTTTTTTTCCCTTTTAGGAAAACCCCTGTTTTTAAAAAAAAAAAACCCCAATAAAAAAAAATTTTAATTAATCCCAAAAATTTAACCCCCCCTAAGTTTAAAAAACCGAAATTTTTAAAAATTCCCCAAAAAGGGGGAAAAATTTCTTTTTCGGGGAAAAAAAAACCAATTTTTAAAAAGGGAAAATTTTCTGAGGGAAATTTCCGGGAAAAATTTTTGGCCCCCGGGAAAAAATTAGGTTTTCCGTAAAATCACCCCCCATGGGGCCCTAAAAAACCTTTTGATGGGGGGCCCTAAAATTGGGGGAAATTTAAAAAAAGAAAAAAACCCCCCCTTTTTTACCCCTTCTTTTGGAGGGAATAAAAAGGGTAAGCCCTGGTTGAAAAATTTTTTTTACAGGTAAAAACGGGGAAAAAAATTCCCCTTTTTTCCAATAATTTGGGGAACCTTTTCTTTCCCTCCCTTTGGGGTTTTGTTTCCTTAAAAAACTGAAAAATTGCCCCCCCCCAATTTTTCGGGATTAATCCCAAAACCCCAAAAAAAAACAAGCTTTTTTCCTTTAAAGGGAAAATTCAAAAAACCCCCCCCCTTTTTAAAACCTTTTTTTCAAAACCCCAAAGACCCCAAACCCCCCCCAAACAAAAAACCCCCCATTTGGGTTTTGGGGCCCCCTTTACTCCCTTTTAAAAAACCCTTTTGGGTTTTTATTTTTGGGGCGGGGGGTTTTCGGGTTCCCCAAAATTTGAAAAACCTTTTTCCCCCAAAATCCCCCCTTTTTTTCCCCCCAAACCCCTAAAAACCTTTCCAATAGTTTTCCCCCCGGGGGCCCAATTTCTCGGGCTAAACCCACCCTTCTTTCAAAAAATTGTAATCCCCCCCACTCGGGTTTTACCCCCGGGGGCCCCCCCCTTGGGGGATTATCCGAAAAAGGTTTTTTTGTTTTTGGGGGCCCTTTTTTGGGGGGGCCATTTGGGGCTTTCTACCCCAAGCCCCCGGGGTTTGGGGGGAAAACCCCTTCCCAGGGGCCCCCCTTTTCCATCTTTTTCCCCCCCTTTTTGTAAAGGCCAAAAGGAAAAAAAACCTTTAAACCCCAGCTCCCAAAACCCCTGATTTTTGATTTTTCCCCATTTGAAATTTTAAAAATAGCCCCCTTTTACGGGCCCTTGGGGGTTTAGCACTTTTTCGGGGAACCCCCATTTGGGGAGGAAAATTAAAACCCTTGGGGACCCCCCTTCCCTCTTTTAAAGGGTTAAGCAAAATTTAAAAGGGAAAGAGACCCCCAATTTAAAAAAAACCTCCCCTTTTAACCCCTGCCCCCCCCAATTTCCCCCCCCCTTTTTATTCCCTTTTTTCCAAAAATTAAAATTTATGCCGGGCCCTTTCCCCAGGGGGGGCAAAAAAACCCTTGCTTTTGGGGCCCTGGCCCGGTTTGCCCCAAAAAAGGGAAAAAGGGGTTTCCCCTAAAAAAGGGATTAGGAACCCCCCCAAAAATAAATTCCCCAAATTTTTTTGGGGGTTGGGGGACCCCTTTTTTGGGTTTTCCCCCGGGGTTTTGGCCCCTACTTTTTGGCCCAAAAAAAAATTGGGGTTTTTTTGGGGAAGGGGGGGTTTGTGGGGAAAAAGTTGGGGCCAAAAACTCAAACCTTTTGGGGGTTGGGGCCCTTTTCCCCCCCCCCCTCAAATTTTTTTTCGGGGGAAAGGGGGCCCAGGGAACCCCAAAAAAATTTTATGGTAAATTTTAAATAAGAAAATTTTTTGGGCCATAAAAAAAAAATTTAAAGGGGGGGGGGGGGGGGGGGGGGGGGGGGGGGGGGGGGGTTTTCCAAAAAAATTCTTTAAAAAAAAGAATCAATATAAAGGGCCTTTTAGCCTTAAAATTTTCTAAAGAGTAAAAAAATTAAAAAATTCGTTTTTCCCTTTGGGATTTATGTTTTTAAAAATTGGGGAGAAAAATTTTTAAAAAAAAAAACAAAAAATAAATAAAATTTTGGGTTAAAAATTAAAAAAGAATTTTTAATTTTCCGGGATATAAAAAAGGGAAAAACATTTCCCGGGGGGAACGAATATTTTTTGGCATGAGGGGGGAATTTTGGGTTTAAAACCCTGGGGGAAAAACCCTTTTCCCTTTTGGAAAGGGGGAAAAAGGGGTTTTCGAAAATTTCCTTAATAAAGAAAGGGGTTCCCCCTAGAATTTAAATTTACCCCCCCTTTAACTCCCTTAAAACTTTTTCGGGGGGGCCAAAAAACAATAAAAATTGGGGGAAAAGCAAATAAAAAAGGGAATACGGGGAATTGGGAAAAATTTTGGGATTTTTTGGGTCTGTTTTTTTTTTTTTTGGGGAAATTAAAACGTTTCTAACCACAAAAAAATTTAAAACTTGGGCCCCTTTTTTATCGTTTAAAAACATTTTTGGGGGAAAAAAAAGTGGAAACCCAAATTTATTCAAAAAAATTTTACAATTAGCTTTATGTTTTTTGAAATTTTCAGCCAAGCAAAGCCCCGAAACCTATTTATTTTAATATTGGACACTGATAAAATTGAAGCAGCGAAATCTGCAACTGAATCAAAATGTTTTGCATAAGTAACGAGCGTGCTAAATCACTCTACAATCCATCTTCGAGATTGTTCTAAAAGGGCCCCCGACGGTTGTAACCAACTTCAATCGATGTATTTTCGGACGCTGATTCCGAATCACCCCCCATGACATAGGGTTAAAATGCTCCCCTGACGAGATATTGGCGAAAAACTGTCTCGATCACGTGATATGACCGTATAAGGAAGTTAGTCTAATTTCTCGTTAGGGTTAGGGTTTCGGCATATGTTTTGTTAAGGATAGGGTTAGGGTTAGGGTTGGGATCAGATTAGAGGGTTAGGGTTTCGAAAAGTCGTTCAGAACCAGCTAGAGAACGGGTTGAAAAAGTCACGTGACAGTCGAGTGTAGAGTGATTAATCATCATCCCATAAGTAACCTTGTATCACGTTGTGACATCCACGGTCGTTTCACCCACGTTCGTTTCACTGACGATACAGGGGAGCCGCGCACTCGTGCGCGGCGGGTCATACAACGTATTTGACCATTGTTAATGGTCTGACCCGGCGCGCGCTACTTCGTAGCACATTTCGAGAAGAAAGCGGCGCGCGCTACTTCGAAGAAATTTAGACGAGTAACATCCGTCAAACAACGTATGACAAAAGTAACCCTGACTTTTTTCGAGTTTGAGCCTTTAATGTTTTAAGGAAAGTTTTCATTTTATGGTTACTGTTTACCTGAGGACCCCAGGCTTTAATGTTGGTAAACAACACCGAATAGAGATTAGGCGGAATGACAGGCTGAGCGCGGCCCAGTAAGGTTACTGTTTAACTTTACATTATGTAATAGTTGAACACTTTCTAAATTAAAGTATAATTCAACTAGACTAATAAAATACTAAAATCTGAGTAAGAACACCTTTAATACACTTCACTAAATCGATTTTTGGGCCAAAGGCCAAAAACCATGTTTTTTTGATATTTTGTTCACATAGCCATGTGCCTACGCGTACTGCGTGACGCGCTACTGCAAGCGAGAGGGCTCTGGTTAGAGCAAATATTTGAGCAATTTAACTTTGTCGACATGCCAGCAAAATGTGCATAAAAATAGTTGGAACACAGCCGGGCCGCATAATAAATAAAATAATATAAAATAAAACGAGTCCCTTAATTTTAAAGTAAAAATCCAAAATCCAAGGCTAAAAAGGTGGTCAAAATGTAGGCTTTTTGCGCGCACTTAATGTTTGGTTTTTAAGTGCTATATTTAGAATTTTTTCCATAACTCTTGTAATAACGACTAATTTAAATAGATTTAATATAATTCTGACAAAAAAAATTTTTT